GGAATTGGTTATTAAACCCCCCCCCCCCCCCGTGTCAAAGTCAGGAAAGCCAATAAGGACAGCCAGGGGCAAGAATTACAAGCCAAGAGCTGGGAGATATACCATTGTAAAGAACAAGGGGAAGTTTGGAGTCCTGGAGAAACCCTCTCTACCACTGAGTGACCAATGCCTTACTGTCCTGTTGCTCCTCTCAGCAAGCACACACAGAAAACAGGAGCCCTGACACCCTTGTCCTCTATGCATATGCACCAGCAGCTGGCCTTTTCCAAAAGAAGGGGAAAAATGTTAGCTCTAGAGGGGCTCATGACCTACCAAGTGAGGCATGAGACCTACTTGAGAGTCCTGACCCAAGTGTCAAAAAGCCAGTTCATGTCAGCTTTCTTGTAACACCATCAGGCCAGTGGGAACTGAACAGGGACTCTATTTTGACATCCTAGATACAGTTGCATTTGGAAACTGTGTGTCACTTTGGTCATAATTAAACTAGCACGGTACTGGAGAGTCTATCCAGCTTTCTGAATCTGTATTCGGTGTTCCATCCATCTGTGGTAAATGTCGTTGCTTCATTCCATCTTGCAGTAGCAGACAAACTGCTTTGGGCTGCCTGCCAGACAGTTACCCATTCCTGTGACAAGGGCAGCCATGGCTGTTTATGGCAGAATAATTTTACTATGTGGAATAGGTCTCTGGGGAGAGCTGTAAATGAGAAGAGATTTCTACCCTAACTGCAAAAAGGTCTAGATAGAAAGAGATGGCCTTTTAGAAAGAGATGGCCTTTGACTAGGGCAGAAGCCTTCCACCCAGCTCTTGAGTTTTACAAAGGAGTTTTACAGACTCACAAGCAGTTAGTATCCCTACCGGTCATGTTTATGCCAGATAACAAGCCTCTGCAGCCTAAATTCCCACATGGTTTGTAAGGCCTTTAAATGATTTGGGTGGGGTGCAGCTCTACTTTCACAGGTCAACACTCTGTGAATTGTGCGTGCTGGCATGACTTTTTCTTTGGTTGGAGGGTTTCTTTTTGCGGCGGGGGTGTGTGTGTCAAAAAAAACAAAACAGGCTGGTTCTCATCGTGATTTGCAATCTCTTTGCTGCCTTCTTTCTGTAGCCTTCCAGTCCCTTGTGGGTTCGGTACTATTGTGTTTAGATTTAGTCTATTAAAGTGGGAAGAAGAGGGGTACAGAGTAAATGATTAATTTGTATTTATTTAACATTTTACTAAATAAAACAATAAAATTTCTTGTCTCTTTTAATTGTGTCTATCATGCCGCAGCGGAGGGGTGGCTCTATAATTTCATGGGGCCATACAAAAAGACTGGGCCAGGAGAAACCTCAGTTTAAAGTCTGCCTTCTTTACTGCAATCCTGAACCTTCAGCTACGCACAAGAATATTATGAACTGCAAAAAAAGTGCAAGTGTCACAGCCAAGTCACTGCAAGAAACTCCTGTTAGGCTGTTTGTTGCTATTTTAGGTTGGGACTGACACTGATGAAGCAGGGCTTGATGGCTGATTCAAACATTACATCTTTAGTATGTGTGTACTACACATTCAGGCAAAAAACATAAGCAAGGTAAGGCTACAGGCTAAAAGAGGTATACTTGTGTCAGGAAACTAGCTGCTGGTTCAGGCTCCCCAGCTGCACATTTCCCCCTGAAATTGCTTTTTGTGGTTTTAACAGCCATTGTCTCTCCCTGCAGGGATTATTTTGTGACCCAGAGGTCCACTGGGAGAAAAGTGGGACTTGGGGCTCTGGGAACATTGTCCTGTGTTGTGAGAGGCATTTGCCATCTCTTCCAGCTCTTTGGCTTGACTTAGCCCAATGAACCCCAATGTTGTACTACCCATAGGCATGACAGTGGGTTTCCTGGTGCCCATTGGTGTCTTCAACTAAACTTCTCACCTTGACCTGGATAGCCCAGGCAAGCCCAATCTCATCAGATCTCAGAAGCTAAGCAGGGCTGACCCCGGCAAGTGCTTGGAAGAGAGACCTCCAAGGAATACCAGAGCGCAAGGCAGACAATAGTAAGCCATCTCTCTGAAACCTCCAACCCCCACTAGGGGCTGCCAGAAGTCAATCATGACTGCCAGGCATACACACACACACACAAAATACCAAGAGAAAACTTCTCATTCCCATAGCAAAGAGCCCGTTGTGGGTTTCCTCCACCTTGCTGGGGTAGATAGTTCTTCAGAAGAACATAGGAGGCATCACCTTTGTGTATGCAGGTCACCCCATCCAGTCAGAAGTGGTTGCCTCCAGCACAGGAGGGTGCTTGGCTTGCAGCTTCTGTGGGCTTGCATTTTTTGACTGCCCAGCACAGAAGCCATGATTGCTGGCATCCAGTCCCCGGAATTTCAGAGTGCCCATAGGCTCAATAACAACACAAACTCTCTCAAAGGCTTCAAAAAGAATTTTACATTTTTTAAAAAAAAATTTAAAAAGACAAACAGTTGTTCCCCTGCCATACAATGCTCAGTTGAAGCCATGGTTAGCATTTGCTTCAGCCTGCCTCAACGTGGGACAGAAAACTCCAGTTCTGGCATGTTGGAGGCACTTGAGTGCCCAAATACCACAAAACCAAAAGAGAAAACAGAGTCTAGCAGCAGAAGGGGCTGGAGGCGCCCTCATCCAAAGGAGATAAAACAAAAGAAAATACTTAAGCAGACACCCCAAATTATATACACCTTGTAAGAAATCACCTTAAATTATATAAATAGCAAGCAAGGAAAATGCTTGCAGGTTGTGCCCTTCTCACGCTCCAGTGTTTGAGAACTGTGGACTGATACTTGGCTGAAGTCACTTCTAGCACAGGGGCCCAGCCCCGGCATTCAGTAGTGCTGCATCTTGTTGCATCCTCATAGAACTGTCGTGTGTCTGGATTCCTTGCTTCCATAGTCAGAATGAGTCCCTTGGGAGATCCGAGCAACTGCAAAACCAGCCGCCTACGCAAGAGGACTCCCTCCAGTGGTGCAAAGACTCTGGCATTCTCAGCTGTTCAGGTGGGAAGACAGTCCAACCCAACTATAGATCCCGGAGTACAACTCAAAACAGGATGTTCCTACTTGTACAGCCAGAAGGAAAATTGAGTAGATATTATGGAAGAAAGCAGCACTTAGACTGCAAAGGAAGGGCAGAACTTCATGTTCCTCCATGGAAGAAAGAAGACATTTAAATTATTCTCTTTATGCCAGAGTGGGTAATGTTGGACAGATCAAGCAATGGGCTACTAGCCATGAGAGCTAAATAGAACCTCTCTGGCCAGAGGCAGTATACCTGTAGCAAAAAAAAATCAGAACAAAAGGTTTCCAGGTAAAGATCCATCTCAATCTGTTCCTTTATCAGGTTTTGTTGACAACAGACTTATTTATACTCCCAGACCAGTTTGGAAATAGTTTAGAAAACCGTAAGTCATTTTTCCCCATTATTTACATCTCCAAATCTGATGTTAAGGCTGATTGTGTGAGGCTCATCACATGGAATACTGATATTAAATGGTATGTCTACAATGACCAAAACTGCATTAAGGAGACAGATCAAGCTATAAAGGCAGATGGACTCCCATTCTAGCTGTATCTGAAGAAGTGAGCCGTGACTCACGAAAGCTCTTCCCCTGCCACAAATGTTGTTAGTCTTTAAGGTGCTACTGGACTCTTGCTCTTTTCTGTTGCATTGAGGAGAACAGCTGTCACTGATGCTGTATTGATTTGCAATAATAACATTTTAAACAAAGTGTATTAATATTTTTATGACATTTTAATCTGCCTTTCTCCAAGCGAGGACTCAGGGCAGATTACAATATTAATAAAAATATAGATCAAATTTGACCATCACTACAAAATCACTGTCAACAAAATCAATACAGCAAAAAACAGATCAAATCCAAGCAGCCAGAATACCCACAGATCAAACACACACACACACACACAAAGCTCACCTAAGGAGCTTTGCTTCTCATTGTCTCCAGGAGACCAATAAGGTAGGGACATTTCTCGCATAGTCAGGCTAGCCTTTCTACCAGGAAGGGGCCATTACTGAAAAAGGTCAGGATGCAGCAAACACTGTTCTTACCTACCTAAAGGATGGAAATCTTTAACGGGCCTTGGTCGACAGAGCATAACAAGGGAGGCAGCCTGAAGATAATGTGCCCTCCAGGCCATAAAGGACTTTATAGGTAATCCTTGTGTTGAGCTTGGAAACCAATAGGCAACCACTGAAGCAGCTGCAGCTAGCGTCGCAGGGCAGGGCAAGGTACTGTATTCTGCACCACACTGTCTTCAAGGGTGTTGCAGTGCAGCCTAGATGTTACTGTGGCATAGATCAGTTGAGACAGGGGTGGGTGGGGGGTGGGCAGCTTCCAAGCCAAGCAGAGATCAAAGAAAGCATTCTTGGCAGCTAAGCTGACCCGTTTCTCTAAAAGCAGCGCTGGATCTAGCCCAGCTTCCAACTCCTCAGTGAATCATACAGAGGAAACTGGAGCCTGTCAAAAGCAAGGGAGCACAGGACCCTCCAAGAGGCTCCAGTACAGTCTTACTGACCAGCATCACCTTCGTTTTGTCAGGATTCCACTTCAGCTTGTGCAGCCTCAGCCATTTGACCACAGCTGGCAAGCACTGGCCCAGGATGGTCGCAGCGGCTCCTAATGACTTAGGCAAAGAAATATAGAGCTGGGTGTTGTGGTGAAATGCTACTTCATCACTGATTCCCTGCATAAAAACCACACAACATTGGATAGTAAAAAGGTACCTAACCATATAAAAGCCTAGTTTAGAAATACATGAACCAAGATAGATTCTCTCTTAACCTGGTGGCAACACTAAAAGGCAATCCTCTTTGGGGTGGAGGAATAAAACCGGCGTGATGAACACTTCATTAAATTCTGGTGGCGTGGGTGTTGGGACCTGCCCAGCGGAAATAAATTCAACGTCCCCCATATGGCATAACTAGGTGCCTGCAGAGCCATTTTGCCAAAGTAGCCGTCCAATACCAGATCTACTGCTGATCTCTCTCAAGATCTTCACAAACGGCACAGGAAATAAGCACCAGAAGACAGACCCCAAAATGATTATTTCCGATAGCTATATTCTGCCTCTTAAAACATCTCTGCATTTTTAGAGTGACCTGGAAGTAATTGCAAGGTCAACAGTATTTGACAAAAAAACCATTTAGAACGGGTCTTTGCCTGGAGACCTGCTGCATACATACAAAGGGTTTGCACTGTTATTTTTGTGATGTTGTATTTCAGTGTCAACTCCGCTTCAGACATCAAGCTATGTATTTGTAGCAGTACAGACATCTGCACCATACTTTATCCATGACTCTTCGCAAGGTGCCTGTTACACTGAAGCAGCCGACAGTCAGTTTCAGGCTAAGGCCTCATTGTATCACATTCACTCTGAGGAGAGCCACCTTCATGCCACTGTCCCTTCTCCCTGCAGGAGAAACTGGAATGACCGGGGGGGGGCAGCAGGGCAGGCACAGCCTAAGCCTCTGCTGTGGCAGTGCTTTCGAGAAGCCCACTTTACCATCCAAAGTATCAATAAAGTCTGAACCATGACTGGCAGGTAGGCATGTCTTCCATTTTCTTTTTTTTTAAAAAAAGAAGAGAGGCGTACATACAGTCCCTCTTGAATATATCAATGAATACCTAAATACAAGCTGTTCAGGTAGTGAAAATTCTCCCACTCATAAAGGCTGACATTCCATAATATAATTAATTGCATAGTTTAATTTGCCAATTTTCAAATTTGGTTTCAAGGTGTAGCAAAAATAAAAGCGGGAATGCGTGGTGATGGGAATAAGATGGGCAGAAGCAGAGAAACAAGGACTACGGGGAGCGCTAGGGATGGCAGGGGCAGCAGTAGCTCTGGTCTCTGACTGAGCTGGAGAGACATTAAGTCCATAGAGGGTTGAAATCCCATGCCTGTCATTGCACGATAGCCCTGGATGGCCCAGGCTAGCCAAATCTTGGAAGCTAAGCAGGGTTAAACCTGGTTAGTACTTGGATGGGGACCACCAAGGAGGTCCGGGGTTGCTACGCAGTGGCAGGCAAGGGCCAACCACCTCTAAAGTCTCTTGCCTTGAAAACCCTACAGGGTCACCATACGTCAGCTGTGACATGATGGCAAAATAAAATGCACCGACGGCTGTAAAATCCACCATTCCAGCAAAGGATCTGGAGAAGTTATTCTGAGGGTGGGAGCTTTAGTGGATTTGTAGTTGGGGATCAAGCCCTACAGTGAAGCTACATGTGCTCCTTTCTCACCCTCCCATTCCTTGTTGCTTGCAAATCCTCATCCCCCCCCCCCATTCTCTCTCGCCAAAGAATGAACCCTGAATGCTTAGAAAACTTTAACTTGGAAGTGACAATATGTAATGAAGCAGGTGACTAGGAATGTATATTTTTGTCTAATTTACCTATTTTGTCTGGGAGCAGAATTTAGATTAGTTTGCCACAGATTCTGCATGGCCCTGAATGGTGGTGTTCGTCCTATTCATAGCTGCTGCCCAGGCAGAGTGTACCACCAAGCTATCAGCAAAAGATGGACTTTGAAATGAACATCTCCAGGAGAGAAGAGCCTTCTCCCACTGGCAGGCCGCTTATGGTGCCTTACGCAGACAAGTTGAGGGTTCCGGTCATCATTCACAGGCTCCTCTCGGCAGTGAGGTATTTGAGTGCAGCAGCACCATACTTGCGTGACAGGTCCTGGTGGAACTCTTCCCTCAGGGTTTCCAGACAGTCCCGGTAACTGGAGCTCAGGCGGAACTTGGAGATGTCAAAACTAGGGGCATGAGGCATGTGGATGATGAAGGCGTTAGGCAGCACCAGAAACTCATACTCCTGCAAAAAGGCATGAGGATGTTGATAGGGGCATCTCCCTTGGACTGTCTAGGAACAGGAAGAGGCAACCTTGGAGGAACTGGCTGCACACTTACCTGGGCATCAAGTTCCATCACGTGGGACACTTTGTTCCAGCCAAAGCCAACGAACCTCTGGTCGTACAAGGGGCAGTCACGCCTTACTACAACGTAAGGCTCAAAGTGTGGCTGCCACTCTACACGATATGGCACTGTGGCTGTCCGCCACTTGGCATAGTCTGTTGGGGCATGGCCCTGTGGCCACACGTGGTACCTGTGCATGAAGACATACAGGGATAGGAAGATTCTTTATCTTGGAGAGTTTTGTTCCGAGACAGTCTCCTATGCAGAGAATTGAAGTACACACACAAGCTCTTTGTGACATTGGATCATCTGATGCTCTCCTCATTCTTCTATGAATTTGGCGGCAACAACAACAAGACTTATGGAGTGAGTGTGCTTAAGGTGCCACATTCTGAATTAAGAGGAATAATTATTGCCTCCTGGTTCTGTCCTTGCTTCACTAATGAGCACAACAGGAATTCATACAAAAACACAAACATGAAGAACAGGGCTGCAGGGAGCTGAGAGATGGGTTCAAGTATCTGCTCTGCCATGCCCTCACCCCATGGGCTTGTGAAAGCCATCATCTGACTGTTTTCCTACTGGTCTCCTAATGTTGCTTTTTGATACCAAACAGGTCAGTGTGTGCATAAAGGTTTCTCTCACACTGCAGGTACCATCACCTATTAATATTGCTATGAATACAATGCTTTTCTTGCATTAAACAGAAACATCAGACTGGATCTATAGGCTTTTAACCTCATAGTTTAATTACAGTCTCCTATCTATGTAAATATATCTGCTAACTAAGAACACAGCTCATGAATTTGACGAAGTGGGGTCTAGTCCAAAAGCGTTTATGTCACAAAAAGTATGTTTTATATATATGTACACAGCCAGGACCTGGATTTCACATACCATTACCAAACAACAGGCTGCAAATTCCTAATGAGACTGTATATTGCGAGAAGGTTGGTTGTGTGCTCTGATCCAGAGATGGAGCTAGTCCAGCACCTACCTGAAGGTATAGAGGGAGCCCATGTCCAGCATGGAGAGCAGCTCTGCTTTGGATTTGGGGAAGGTGAGGCGATAGTGTAGAGTTTCAAAAGCAGGCACAATTAGAGCTGCCTTCTTCTGGGGCAGCTCCAGTTGCAAGATGGAGGTCCTGAAGCGAGAGGAAAGAAGTTGCTTGCTTGTTGCCAAGCGGGGGATTCCAAGAGTGATGCATCCCCTTCTGTGAGCAATTTTGGATACTAGCATATTTCTTGGCCAGAGACTAATGTTGGAATGATACAAACACCCTCCTTCAGTCTAACAGTAAGGTGGGGCGGGGGGAACTCAACAGCTTTAGACCAGTTGTGAAAGGACAAGTCAGGGGCAATGTGGAGGGAAAGAATGATGTTTAATCACCCTCTAAATGAATCAAGACCCCACCTGGAGGAAAGCGAATTTGGCTGATTTCCAAGTTTTTAAGGCCTTAGAAGGGTTGGGAATGGCATTGCTCTTTACCAGCTTTGGAGAACATTTCTGCTTTTTGACTTAACTCAGACAGGAAAAAGGCTCTCTGGAGTTCAATGAGCAACATACCTGAGGTAATCATAGAGGCCATACATAGGTAGGAAGTCAATGTCAGTCAGGAAGACATAAGGCGTCTGTGCGTTCTTCACTGCTACATTGCGCAAAAAGTTGACTGGGTAAAACTGCCCCTCCTTGTACACAATGTGATAAGCGACATTCCTGCGGCTACTCAGCACCTCCGAGGCCTGGGCGTAGCGCAGGAACTGCTGGGCCTCTGCATCAGACATGTACAAGGCCAGGCTGATGGGGCCAATCCAGTGTTTGCAAATGGCCTCCAACATCTGTAACCTGCAGACCAAAGAGAGAATCAGGAGCAGGATACTACCCTGCTATAGCAGATGGTCAAACCACAAACAGTAACAGGGTCAGGCCAGGCATAGTGACATCCCAATACTTTCTCACACCCAACTGCAAATATTTCTGAGTCTCAACAAAAACACTTTCCAGATGCTCCTCCATTACAGTGTGGTGGAGGGATTTTTCCATCATTTTATGAAATTGAAACAGCTGCTGTATGATGGACTGACACTGTAGTGCAAAATAAAAGAGGGTTCATCCTTTCTAGAGATGTGAAGGCCCGGAAAAAACCCGGAAAAATTCAGAAAAAAAACCTGTTTTTTTCCATTTTTTTCCTGAAGCCTTTTTGGTTTTTTTCCGAAAAATTGGAAAAATTGAAAAAAGAAAAGAAAAGAAAAAAATTGATTATGGACCATTTTATTTTAACATAATGAATAAAATATTTTAAGACAAGGTGTTCAAATATTTTCCAAATCATTTCTTATACACACACACACACACATATGGTATCAGATTGATCTAATTTCTGTGCACTGAGGACAATTAAGTCCTAGGTTACAAACTGAACTCTCCAATGCAAGAACAAGATGCATTTCTTCCTTTAGGAGGTGTGATTGTCAGAAGAAAATAAAAAAGTTTCAGTTTTGTTTTTGCATGTGGATGGGTATTCTGTTTGTAATAATTGTTTAGATACACTATATTTTTAATATGCTAGTTGTGATAATTTCATGCCAAGTAAAAATGACCATAGTCATATTTTATGTTCCTAAAGTTATAGAATGACTTTCAATCTAGAAAAGACAAAAGAAATGCTAATGTAGCATTTTTTTCAATTTTTCCGAAAATTTCCGTTTCCCCCCGATAAAAACCAGGAAAAACCCGTGTTTTTTTCCGAGCTTCAAAATTTCCGGAAATTTTACATCTCTAATCCTTTCCCTCTTACGCAGTTTCAATTGCAAGCCCCACTCTCTCTTATTAGCTCTGGATGATGAAAAAGGACCCCTCCTTCAGGCAGAGTCCTGGAGGGGAGGGTGTTGGTGTCAACTGGCAGAACTACCCAGCGGAGGGAGGAATTATGCTTCCTCTGGCCTGGATCACTTGACAGTCTGAAGAGGGGTACCATGCACCTGCTATTTCCCTATGAGAAGACTAGAAAGGTCTGTTTGTGGATCTCTTAGCATTGTATGACCTTTGGCAAGTCATTCTCATCCTAACCTACCATACAGAGTTGTTGTGATGACACAGGAAGGGACTGAACCATGTACAAGGCCCTTGGTGGAAAGATGGGATAAACAGATCAGACAGATACTTGCTCTTTTTTAAACATTAAAAAGTTTACATCCCCCCAGAAGGCATGCTTGGCTGGGTTGTGTTTTGTGCAGTGAAATTATAGCCATAGAAGTTTGCAGTGTTAGTAACCAAGTCTGATTCAAGAGACTTCCCGGGCCAATGAAACCATATAAAGAGCCACAAGGGGGCAAAGCGGTGGGATCTATGGCAGAAGATGCCACACCTTCCCCACCTCCTTCCCCATCTGGTACCTGTCCATAGACAGCTGAGCTACAAGGGTTACGTCAGCTGCATCAGTCAAGGCTGGGTACTCATACTGCAGAAAGAAGAGGTGCACACGGTGCTGGATAAGGCTCTGCCTCCGAAAATCATAGCAAGGATCATCTTCATCCAGTTCTTCCAGGGCCTGCTGGAACTGAAATTTACATGAGTGAGAAAAGGGGAAGAGAATTCACTAGGGAAGGACAATGGAACACTGACAAAATATTGTGGCTATGCAAGATCAAGAGATGCAAGGAAAATCACCATTGAAACTGAGTTAAAAAGCTGAGCTTGCCAGGATACCCTGAAAGCCAGCAACATCATATTGCTTGCTTAAATATAGGGGGGGGCGCTATCCTTTCTGACCAGCTATAGGGACTCTCCATTTCAAATATGCCAAGTAAGGAGAACGACATGCTCTTGTCACCTGGCCACTGGACAAACTAGGCAAGTTGGCACATCCAAAGAGTTCCCTACGCAGCAAGTTGCCATCATATTCCAAAAAGGTCAGGTAAAGGTTCCGGAAGAACTCCACATGCTTATTCTTCACTCTCAGCTTCTTAGGAGAGTTCCAGTGAATCACCTGAGAACATAAGACTGATGCTTCAGCCCTGCTGCAGAAGCCAGTTCTATTCCACATCCTAAGCAAACGACAAGTCCCTCCAGCAGCCAGTTTGTGCAGGCTGGAGATGCAAGCCCACCCTCCCCAGCGGGCTCCACAAGAGCAAGTCCTGCTCAGAGATGCAGAGGAAATTCAGGAAAGCTGCAGAAGAAACACCCACCTTGAGATCAGACACTTCTGTGTAGCACTGTTCTGAACGGGTATGATCAGAGAGCTGCACATTCCAGAAGCAAGGGAGCCGATATACAAGCATCGGGCTCCGCTTAATCACTGCATTAAAGATGTCCTAGAAAAGAGATCGTAGTTTGCACCATGGATGGGTGGGCATTCTGGAAGGAGCAAAAGCCCCAGGCAGAAGTAAACTGGAATCAATTGAGGACAATACATTATTATGTAAGGGCACTCAGTCACAGCAAAAAAGGAAATTGGGGGGGGGGTCCAAGCTGGAAGGGCAACCTGCCTGATCTGCCAGAGATGTGGACAGCATGCTCATGAGCTCCCGTTCTGCTGTCAGGCGCCACATCTGCTCCCAGCCAATTCGACGCAGGCGGTCCAGCAGCAAGAGGATCACTCCTAGGGAGGAGATATGAGAGAAGGATGAGATCTACAGCATGCTGCATCCCCAAACTCAGCACTGGAAAATGCACGCTACAATTTGTGTCTTTTGAAGGAAAAGCACTTGGTTTTCCTAAATCCCTAATCCTACTGCCATCTCCCTTCTAAACTGCAAGGCCTTTTGGCTGGGAATCCCCATGAGTGGATATTTCAAGTCTTCAGTGACCAGCCAGGGCTGGGGGAATCCTTCTTCTACATACAGAAAGTGATGAGTGTTCCAAGGGAAGGGATAGAATCTGCTGTTTTATAAACACAATTACTAGACTGTAAGACGTGGGAATGGCTTTCCTCTAGTTCTGTACGGTTGCCCTCATGTTGCTCCTTCCCCCCTCCCAGTTTCATAGTGAGTCCCCCATCAGACACTCAAGATTAAAAATGTACAGTCCCCCCCCCCGATGCTTACAAATTCATGGAGCAACATACACTCCCTCACATGAGGGGAAAGCCAATCAAATGGAAAAGGGGGGGGAGGCCACAGCAGGCTTCCAAGCTTCTGGAGCAGGGACCCTGGGAAGCAAAACCTTGTAACGGAGGGTTGGGCTGGGACTGGACCTCAGCACTGACCATCACTCCTACTGGAGCGGGAAACCAGTTTACTATGTTGCAGTGGCGAGAAGCCTCCCCAGGCCTATCTGTGCCTATCTGAAGCCCACCTCACATGAAGGACATAACTCTTCAGGTGAGCTGTTTGAATAAGCAGGTCTGTGGCCAGCCACCAGGTGGTGCTACAGAATCTTCCATCCCATCAAAGAGAACAGCAGCTGCCATAGCGCCCAAATTTATGAAGCCATTGTCTGTCGAATGTGAAAAGCTGGCTTGCCTGCAGTATCTGGAGTGAGGAGGCATAAACCTTCAACATAGCTACACCTTTTTTACTCATATTCTGAAAACATGTGTCGACAGCTACCCAAGGATGTATGAGGTAGCCCTTCCCAAAGCAGACTGAAGTATGAAGGACTACAGACTACACCAAAAGACTACTCAAAAAAGAATGAGAAAGTGCCGCTGAAGCAACTTGGATGATGGCACCATTGAGTGTCACCCCCTCACCCCTAAACATGTAATGTCCGACGGACCTGAAGGCCTTCAGCGAGCTATTTGCTCCACCCAAGAAGCACCTAATATCGAGAGCACCTCGTCTTCCAAGAAGTCTAGTTCTGTGGAATAAATCAGTACAGTGCAAATACAGAGTTCTTCTTTCCCATATGAATGCATATATTAATGTTTGACTATGACTGTGGAGTCCAGGATTCAAACCTCTGACTCAGGCATAAAGCCGTGGTGACCCTTGACTAGACACACCCTTCACATTTGCCTCTCACCATTCCTTCAAGGAGGTCAGCGTATGAAGCAGCTCAGGCTGAAAGGCTGATTTGATTTATCAGGCTTATATCCTGCCCTCCCCTGCAAGTGGGTTCAAGAGACTGTGCAGGATTCAGAGGAGGGTGCTTGATCCAAACTACATACACCCCCAAAAAAACTGACCCTACATGCATATACCATCCTCTTGGATATGTAGGAGCTCACCTGTGTTAAAGCCACGTCCCAATGCTGGCCATGGTTTATGGTTCTTCCAGAGATTCCCAAGGTACCAATCACTTTGGTTTTCCACCAGCCCAATCACCTGTTTGTCTGGGTTGTGAGAAAAAGCAAATGAGACCCAAAGCAATCAGCAGAATGCCTGACAAGTACTTAGCTCTTTGGAATCCAGTATGGACAATCTGAGTCCAAGGGGCCAACAGATCCATCAGTCTGCAGCAATATTTGCCTCCTACCATGTGTTAATTTGGAAAGGAGCACACTAACTAGAAAAACCATGTAGAAAGAACCTCATGCAGTATAAGGCCAAGAAGCTACTCATAACCTCAGATTGCGAGACCTGAATGCCTCTTCAAGAGGGAAGAGCCCACTGATAATCAAAAGGACTCCTTCTTTCCATCCCATTTATCACTTACCTGAGAATTTCCCCAAGACAGCCCACAATTCAGCAATGTCAGTGGCAAAGGTGATGTCTGTATCCAAGACAATGACCTTGGAGAGGTCAGAGGGTAGTGCCTTGGTGAGAGTCAGCTTCATCAGCCCATAGATTCCTGAGTAGTGCTTGTTAGGGATCCAGGACACCTCTGCCTGCATCAGAGAGTGGGACAGACACTTAGGAACAGGAGAACAGGCAGGCCAATATGACCACATTCTAATCCTCTGGGTAAGATCAAACCCTAAACTGCACTTCTTCAAGCCATGGGAACCATGGGACGGTATCCAAAATGGGAACATGGCACAGTTTTGATTGTGATAGTGAGTTCCTGGATTCAGATCTAACCCTCCATTTTCTCAATGAAGCCTCTTCTGGTCCTAAGATGGAGATACAGTTAAAGCGTCTGTGCCCTGCGGCAAACCAATCCACACCCGCCCATTCACAGAAGGGCCAAAAGTAATGAATGCCTGCCGATTCCTACCAGGAGGGTCTCAATACCAAAATAAAGGACTTGGGCCAAATTTACTGGTGCTTCCCCCACAGCCAGTGAATAATGAGAGAGTAGAAGGGGAAAAAAACAGCTCCCATCTCCAAGGTCCTCCTCTTTCCATGCCATTCCCATCCAAGCTTTCCTTAGGGAGCTGATCACTTCGCAGAAACCCACAGCCTAGAAAGGGAAAAATCAAAGGAAGGGCAGAATGGGAACATGAGCTGTGATCTACATGTCCTGCCTTCAAATCATCAGCATTGTAGAAGCTAACGTTGACAGAGGGGACCATCCAGGACTGGAACAGGGTCTGAAGGATCTTCTGCGCCACATGGTCAGTAATGAGATGGAAGTGGAGAGGGTTCTTCCTGTCAAATGAGAAATCAGTCAATGCTCACAAGGAAGATGTTTTATTTTCTGAGACCCACCCCATCTCCTGATGTTCTCTTCCTCTTGCATTGCAACCAAGGCCATGGTGGCTACTGGTCCCTTCCTTCCCTATGTGGCACAGCCATGCTATCTCAGGATTCCTCTCTGCACAGCAACTAGGAATCATGGCAACTGACACCAAGGCAAAGGGAATGGGGGACAGAGGACCCAATCAAATCAATCCCCCCCCCTTCACAATCTGAATCTCTTCTGTTGCTCTTCTTCCTCATCCAGAACTGGAGTTTAGAAGCCAAGGTTCAAATGACCATCATAATTTGAAGACTCATACTCCGGAAGCCCTGGAAAAGCTGAAGGCCTCACTACCTGCTCAAACTGAAAGCAGCCCAGCTTCCGCCTCAGGTTACCTGTGGAAGAGGATGGATTTTACCAGGGTGACGACATCTCTGCTTGCGTTGTACCCAGCACACACAATTGCAACGTGGATCAGCTGTGCAGAAACAAAAGATGTCGTCAGGACTGACCCTCCCAACAACAGTTCACCACAACAGGCCCTCTCCTCTTTCCTTTCTTTCCCCATGCAAGAGTGGCTTCCCTCACCATTCTAAATGCAGAATCACCTGGCCTGCATGGTCTTCACACCTTGGTCTTGGTCTGCCCAGCTTGCTACAGACTCAGATGATAAGTTAAAGGCTTTGTCTTGAAAGCGTAATAGACAAAAATCCAACCACGGCAGAGCTAGGAAAGGCAACCAGCACAAACCAGTTGGCCCTCCTTAAGTGCACTGTCACTCCAGGTAACAGCTGCTTAGGAACACTGTGGCTTCTAAAGCAAAAAACCAACTTTTGATATATGGTTCTTAATCACACTGTTCTTTTTCTTTGAATAACTTGATTCTTTATAGTTGTATAAACCTGATTTTATGGAAAGTTGTAATTTGTATTGTAAGTATAAATATCTGTATAAGACAAAAACCGTTAAATGTTATTGTAAATTATTTTGTGTAACTATACCTTCTCCATCTCCAACACTGTATTACAAATATTCTAAATAAACTATGTTGTTTGAAGGGGAAAAAAAAAGGAACACTGTGACTTCTTTCCATCAACGCTTCTATTGCAAAATAAGTCTCTCAGCATCCAAGGTAGGCAATAGCAAGAAGGGAATATGTCTGCATCCAATATTTTGGGAACTGGAGTCTGTCAAGCGACCCTGGGCTACTAACAACCTCCAAATCCCTCCAAAGAGGAAATTTGCCTACAAGTGCCTCAGCAATGAGCAGAGCTTCATCTTTACCTCGCACTTTTGCACCATCCTCTGCTTAAGACAGCCAGTGCGGTTGCTCCTTCTGTCACCAAGAACATCCTGGTCTTCCACAAAAGACGACCCCTGCTGTTTGCCATCAGTCCCTTCTTGAGCCTGAGACCGGATGAGTTGCAGCCGCAAGAGATGGTTTTCCTCTTCCACCTTCTGCACCTGGGACGCCAAGGCCTTGTGGTCAAGGTACCACTTTGGCTGTTCCCCAAAGCAAGGGGAGGGCAGGAGGGAAGGCCCATCTGCAGGGGAAAGCCCCGCCCCAATACAGTGAGTTACAATAGAGGAATGTATAACGGCAGAACAAGTTAAATTCAGTGAACTTCATCAAAGGTAGAGGAAGAAGCTGGAGGAGATCCTAACTTCAGTACCACTTTGTTCACTTTTGTAGCTTCCAGGTGAGTACTCAAAATTCAACCCCTCAACAATATTTGCCCAACTCTAGCCCTGACCTGGATAGCCCAGGTAAGCCAGATCTCATCAGATCTCAGAAGCTAAGCAGGGCTGACCCTGGCAAGTAATTGGAAGGGAGACCTGCAAGGAATACCAGGGATCGGGACACAGGGGCCACCTCTCTGAAACATCTAAAACCCCACTAGGAGTCACAAGAAGTCACCATGACTTCCAGGCATGCAAGCACACACACACAAAACACACACACCCATTATTATTATTTTTAAACGGCCCAACTTTGTCATGGCTTCCATTTGTTCAGATCTAACTGGATGAGTTGTCCCCTTCTGATGCTTTCTTGGTTTAGTCACCTCCTTTTTACTTTGTGCCCTCCTTTTTACACAGTGTGTTTTACCTACACTATATTCTGAGCTCAACCTCTTATTTTATGTGTCCCGTTAAACTGCTGCTCCACAAGCAAAGTTTCATTCCTCTGTGACCTTTTCCTTTCAAAATTTCACTGACTTCACTCTTGCTAACACTTGGCTTTCTCCTCCTGCAGACTTTGTTACACCAACCCTCCTTCCCAGCTGCTTGCCTTCTTTCTCCCTGCCTCATGGAGCACAGTGGCCGATCTTCGGACCTTTTTTTAAACGTTCTAAAGTGAGTGGAGTCCAGGGGTCATTTCCTGCCGGGGCACTCCGGCAGTAAGGAGCCCGGGGCGCCCCCCACCGCTATTCCTGGCCCGCCTGCACAGGTCCTCCCTGCCCTGCCCTCCCCTTCTCAAGTAAGGAGCTCCGCAGGTCCACCCATCCTGCGGCCAGAGAGATAGCAACGGGCTGGGGGTGGCAGCTATGTAGGCCCTGCCCAAGGCACTCAAGACGGAGGAGGAGGAGGAGGAGGCAGGCTGGAGCAGGAGCGGCAGGTGAAGGCGATCTGCCTGCACAGAGTCCAGAGGCTGATGGAGCCGCCGGGACCCTCGGAGCGCGTGCTGAGCTGCCAGGCCATGGGGCAGATGCGGAGTGGGCGCTGAAGCAAGACAGCAAGAGAGCTGGCTGCCGCCTCAGCAGAGCGGTGGTGGCAGCGGATTTTCGGCCCCAGAGCCTACCAGCCAGTTGCTACTGCCGCCACCCAGCCACACGGGGGCCCAGGCACTTGCCCCGGGCCCGGAGATAGTGCCGAGGAAGAAGAGAGCCGGCTGCGACCCCCCTCCGCCCACCAGCACCCGCCCACAGGTGTGCCGCGTGGAGCCGGCCAACCAGGATGAAGAGGAGCCCCAGCTGCGAGTCGTGCGGAAGGGCCGGGACTTGATGAGCGGGGATGGAAACTTCCTGTACAAGATCCCGGCCTAGGAGCGGAGGCGTGTCGGGGTCGAACCAGGATGCCTTTTGCAGGCCCCATGCAGGCTGCAGTAGCCCTTCCCAAAGCACCAGCTGCAGACTGCTTTGACCTTCTCCCCCCCATGTGCAGCTTGCTCTCCCTTCCCTGGCCAGAGGCCCTGGTGGGTGCCTTTGGCTTGAAAAAAGTAAAAAAGTAAGGAGCCCTGCAAGCCCCACCCCTGCCCCCAGCTCCCAGCAATAAAGTAACACCCCGCCCCCCCGCCCCCGTGATGCAGCATGTGGGACCTCAGTTGGATTTAGTCAGGGCTTTTTTTGTAGACAAAGCCCAGCAGGAACTCATTAGCATATTAGGTCACACCCTGACAGCACAGCTCATTAGCATATTAGGCCACACCCCCATGTTACCAGAAGTAACCTTTTGCTTCTTATTCTGTTTACCTTGTTTGTTGTCAAAACCCAGGGCTTTTTTTTTGTAGCAGGAACTCCTTTGCATGTTAGGCCACACCCCCCTAATGTAGCCAATCCTAATGAGTTTCTGCTGTTGGGTGTGGCCTATTATGCTAATGAGTTCCTGCTGGGTGTGGCCAACTTGGGAGCCAGCCGGAACTCCATTCCTGTACGTTCCTGCCCAAAAATAGCCCTGGATTTAGTTATGAGGGAGCATGTTTAGGGTTGGACTGCAGGGAGTTAACAGGGAGTTAACCCCCTCCCCCAATCCACTGTGTCAGAGACTTCATAGGTTTAAAGGGTTGATGTACTTAAAACTCCCCCAGACTCTTATTTCCCCTGTGATGATCTTAAAAATAGCTTTGCTTTGGGGCAAATTCCTGCAGAAGCTCAGGGGCTTTCCTTTCAAAATACGTGGGCATAGGATTTAGGTGCCAGTTCCAAGGCTAACATTTGTGTAGCTTTGTCTGTAATCTGAGTTAAGGGAGAGCCTTTAAGGTTTGGGTTGATGAGCATCCATTATTTGGAAACCGAAATGAATGATTTTCCAAGACATCTTTGGGAACGGGGATTTATTCATGTAGGTGCCTGTTGTTTCAGGAGAGGTGGCATCGCATCAGTAGTGGATCTGCATCCCCACCAAATCAAAGTCCTTGTATGCACAACTCAGATCTTGTATATGCTTACTCAGAAATAAGTTTCACTAAGTCCAATGAGGATTACTCCCTTATAGCTGCGCAAATAGGATTCCAAGGATCTCAAGTAGCAGGTGTGGAGAAACATCCCACTTTTCCTGATACCTCAGAGTACCACTGCCAGTCAGAAGACACAATGCCAAGCAAGGTTGGCTAAAGAGTCTGACAGTATAAATCAGCTTCTTCTTTTTTTTTTAACATATTTTTATTGAGTTTTCAGTATATAACAAAAATTACATTTCATATTTCCATTCTTTTACAATATTTTTGGAGCTTTTTTCCCATATGTTTCTAACCAGTTATCTAGTTTTTGCCATCTTTCTTTAAACACACTGTCCATCTTTCCCGCTAAAAACATATTTGTTTTGTCCATTTCTTTTATATCTAAGATGTTTGTAATCAATTCTTCTCTGCTTGGAATTTTTTCTGATTTCCAACGTTTTGCTATGGCGATTCTGGCACTTGTGAGGATGTATAATATCAAACGTGCATCATTATATTTTATATTTTCAGGTAGGATATTTAATAAGTATGTTTCTGGAGCTAGATTCAAGTCTATATTTAATATTTCTAAAATGAGTTGTTTTATGGTTTTCCAGAATTTTACAATTTTTTCACATCTCCACCAGATGTGGTAGAAGGAGCCCACATTTCTCTCACATCTCCAGCAATTTCCTGATACTGTCTTATAACATTTTTGTAGTTTCTCTGGCGTCCAATGCCACCTATGAAACATTTTGAAAACATTCTCTTTATATGATGTGGCTCTTAATAATTTCATTGAGTTCCACATTTTTGACCATTTCTCTATACTTATATTACTTCCTATATCTGTTTCCCAGGCCTTCATACATGATTTTATTTTTTCTGCTTGGCACATGTCATCTAGTAAGAAGTTGTATATTTTTTGGATCAGTTTATCTGCGGAAGACAACCAAATTTTATCTAAATT